CTTTTTAGCACGTAGCTATTTATTATTAGCATTATTCTTTCGACGTCTGATTTCTTTTTAATTATAGGAAATGCGTTTTTCTAAGGTACATAAACTTTTGGGATTGACTGTATTTAGCTAGAAAAACCGGAAGCTTCAAAACCTCAAAATAATTTATAATCGGAGATATCGGATTTTACGTGACACGTCCATCCGGAACTGGCGAAAGAATATGAAGCTACTGGTATCTAAAGATAATTCTATTTTTCTACAGTTATTCAAATCTGTCGGTCGAACATGAAGAAAGGAAGAACGTTCCCTAATTCGCAAAACGATACAATTCCCGAAACTGGGATTATCCACCCCTTCCGATGAATCAGAAGCCTCGACTACACTTTGTTCCTTCCTCAGCTGGCGAAAACCGTTCTTTGTTCACTTACCATTTGACAGGCGCACGGCTGGAGACCGTGGATCGGGCATCTCTGCGGATTCGCCGATTGAGGAGCCGGTTGCAACGCGAACGGGGATGGATTAGGGAACGGGGGGCTATTGCTCCTCGGATACTGGGTCTCGTAATAAGACGGCGGCGGTCCCGTCTGCTGTTGGTGGCTCGGCGGCGACGTCTGATACATTTGATAGGACTCCAGTTTCATCGTTTCCGCGAGGTTACCGGCTACGGTTCGCGTTCCGTGAAAAGAACGTGTGTTAATTAAATCTGATCGACTGAGTGGCTGCCTAACCGTTCGTTTCTCATCCGTCCCGTGCCGTCGTCTATCTTTACATACAAGTTTCAAGTACGAACTCAGAAACCACAAGTCACAAACGGTTCAGCTTCTATCTTTCTACGTATTCGTGTGAGAGTTTTACGGTTTTATGCAACGTCAAACACCCATGTGAAAAAATACTTGTGGTTCCTATATTGCAACAACGAAAGTCGAGTGCATACTATAATTACTCGAAAATAGAGCGATCAGCCGTCCAACAAAAAGTGAAAAAACGCATGCTCTGCGCCGTGTATCAAAGAATGCGGTGCGATAGAGAAGGAAAAATAGTACGAGATAGAAAAAACGGTGTACGTATATAAATGAACAGAGAAACAAAGAATGCTTTATTTAAATATAAATATATATACATGTACGTATGTATATATATATACGAAAATTGAAGTGCGTACCTAATTGTTCTGGGCTATAAGGTGTGTATGTCGGTTTCCATTCCTGTTTTCCAGGGATCGCCGGGATTGGACTTAATCGACCACAGGACGAGGCATTGCTCGAAGCTCGAGGACTCGAATAAAAAATAGTTCAAATTGTATTTTAAATGTGCAGATATTAAAAGTACACGCTATACGAAAGAGAGAAACAGAGAGAACGGAGGAACTACCGACGTACTCGGCTCGCCGTCAAAGGCCTGATACTCGCAAACGCAAGCGGGAGCGGTGCGTACATTCGGTAGGAAAGCGTAGTACGTGAAAACTCTTTCTTTCCGTTTGTTTACTTTTTCGTAGCGTCGAAGCATCGCGGCGTGTTCGTAACGAGGAAAAAAGATCGTAGAGAATTCGTCTTTGTACCGCGTTATTGTACGACGTACAAAATGCATTAACCTTTCAGTCGAGTCGTCACCTACTCGATCGGTCAATTGAAAGGTTAACCACTCGGCTAGGACAGATATTTACAGTGATTCGTCTACCTCAAAAAATAACGACGATGCAAAAGTTTCTACGAGACGAGTCCGAAGTAGAAATCGTCAACTACTTGAATTGAGACAGTTTACAAAGATAACTACATCCAGCCGCATCTACTGCAAAATTAAACTCATCGCATACCAATTTGCTACATACATACATACCTGTCGATTCTCTCTTTATATCGTATGCTCCTATTAGACAAAAACAGAGCTTTACTTCAAAGAGGAAAATTCATCTTTAAAGGAAGAAATGAAAACTAAAAGATCCAGCAGCTCGAACGAAAATTCTCGATAATAATTCCCAGCTAAGTGGTTCGCAAAGCGTAAACGGTGCCAGAACGTGTGCCGTACGTTTTTAATGTACTACGTAGAATTGGAAATAAAATAAGCGTGAAAGGTGGAACGTGGGTGATACTCACCGGAACTCGGGCGATAGCTGAAATCCACTGCCGGGCTGAGGCGGGCTGTCCGGGAACAGGTCCAACCCTTCGTTCACGCTCGGAGGACTCGTTGCCGATTGCAGGTCCGACTGCAGACTCCCGTTCCTCAACGCTTCGATCTTCTTCCTCGCACGGCCCCGATGTTTCTCCAACTTCCTCGCCTCCATGGTCAACGCCCTGCGAGAAATTCGACAAAGTGACAACCAAGAGCGGCACCCGCGACAGCGGAGACTCACGTAAATTAGGGCGTACCTTCGGCGCGATTTCCCTGGCTTCGCGTCCCGATTTATCATCCACCAGGAACTCTTACCGGTGCCCTCGTTTTGCACCCGCATGAATCTGCTGTGCAGGGACAGGTTGTGTCTTATCGAGTTCTGCAACAGAACCGACGGATTCGTTCAGATGAGGTCGATGTGAATATTATATCGGTTCGCCGACGATTAATAAAATCGCCGGAGCACTCGAGTCTGCGAGTAACTAGAGAACGTGAGATATCCTCGTGGAGAGGCAATAGAATTCTTGTAATTTGGAAAAGTTTCCAGCCAGGAAGGAATATCAATTCCTGGGAGAAAGTAATTTTTATTCGCAGCGGTATCGTATACTGGATCCTTACGTAAAACAGGCATCTCCCTCGTCGCGCGTTGCACGGACGACGACAACGACGAGGACGACGACGACGGTGCCCAAAGACAAGAGAAAATTGTTATCGCTTCTCGACGGTACTTTCATATTAGGGTAGAAAGCTTTCCGAAATTTTTCGGAAGAGAAGGGCGACTAGGTACGTCGTCGATTCAATTTGCCTAATGAACAAGTTCCCCCTCGGTGCTCCGCGATAGGACACAATAAAACGCGGACACTTATGACTCACTCTCGTCGAATCGATATCTCTGTACACGGTATAAAACTGTTCGAACGCGATCGGAGTTCCGTTACGCGAACGTACGATGAGACAGTAAAGAGGAACTGGTATCGAGATATCGATAGGAACGAGATAGCACCGCTCCTAGCTTCCGTCATAAATTTTCTACGAAATTGAAATTATAAAGTTGCTGTAAAAGATCTCGCCCGTTAGATAAGCCCCTTTAATTCCGAACTGGATTTATCGTCCCACTTCTGCCACGGGTCACAATTTTTTACTGATTTATGGATTCCCTTCGAGATTTGAACGTCTGCCTCGCGGGCAACAGTTTTCAAAAATGAACGACGTGAACGATAAGAAAATCGGACGAAGAGAGCCGACGTTAACACGGGATCACTCGTTCAAACGAGCTACTTCTAAGCCCAATTAAACGGTATCGCGCGACGGTCTGATCCCGGTTTTAAGTAGTTTCCGCGCGTCGAGTAAATCCGCGAGCCCCATTACTTTTAGTACACCGTACCCAGCGTGTCCCCCGTGTTTAACCGAGGACACCGTTCTTAAAAGTTGACCGGGCTGTCCCGATGGACGGCCCTCGGGGGCTCAAGTATTTATCTGCAGAGGGTCGGTACTCGCGTCGCGATTACCCGACGAGGATGCTTTTACGATCGATTCGCATCGTCGATTCCTTTTACCTTTTCATCGTCGTGGTCGTCGTCGTGACGGACTCGTAGGGTTTCGAACGACGACGACGACGACGACGTTCGATCCCGGGGCTATTCGAGTCGTTCGCTCTTTACAACCCTATCATCCTCGCCGCCTCCATATCGGCGATGCGCCTCCGAGATGAAGACGTTTTCGGCGCCGCGATTCTGATTTTTAAATCGACGCTCCGGTCATTCGACGCCGGACTCGATTCGATTCCCATGCAATTTGTTTTCCACCCATTTATCGCGAGAGATATCACGTCGGAATTTCAATCACCGGACGAATGAATTTTATTCCGATGTAAGAGAATCGGAAAATACAAAGCGTATCGAAATCGTCTCGCCGGATCGTTCCAGTCGAACGATGGCCGATCCGTTTTTGAGTCGTTTCGAAACTCGGCGTATCGAAAAAATATTTAACAAGCTTTTGCGTCAAAAGGAATCGAGAATAAAAAAAAAAAAAGCGATTCGGAAAGAATTGGCAAACGAGCGCAGGGCCGCGAGAGGGGGACACAAAAGAACAAACGTTCCGCCGAGGTAAAACTTTTTCTTTGATCAGCAGAATGAACGGGAGAAGTTTAGTTAAAATCGGTCGCGATACACCGGCGGTTGCCAGACTTTGTTATCGTTAACGTCACTGAAACGCTTAATCACGTACACGATGCAACGCGTCCCGATGCAGCGTGCAAGTGCGTCGATCGATGCGTAACGAAACGGCATAGATTGTATTGACCGTGACGACTTTATGCGAAACAAATGTCATCGGACGTGAAACAGGATGGATTTCCATTAAAAATTTGTTTCATCACGTCGGATAATTACTTGGAGAGATCGTCGTTAATTGCCCCGGGGCAAAAAAGGATTCAGTTACCTGATGCACTGGCCAAAGAAATAAAGATGCCGAGTCACAAAGAATGATTGATGAAAAACTGGCTGAAGACGTTTGGAAAAAAAAGTGAATCGACTATCGCGATATCTAATTGACATGGAGAGTTTGAGAAAAGTTCGCAGATGCTCGACCGACAAAAATCGGTGAAGGGACCTCTCGCCCGTCGAGATACCTTTCGAAGCAACGGTGTTCAAGGGTCGATGCTGCATACATAGACGGTCGCTGATTCCGTTGGCCGTGACCGGCAGATAAACTCTCGGGCAGTTTTGTCAAAGAAACGGTGTAAAGTCTGGCTCGAAAGGAGCCAAGCGACGAAGATGACCACGGACAGGCCGAGCCTGGTTATCTCCCCGGCCAGAATGGACTGTATAACGCGCAATTTATGGAATGTATACTCGTCTCGACTGTCCCGTGGCTATCTTCCGCAAAGGCGACGAGATAAGGAAACTCGAAACGTCGTTCCTTTCGAAAGTGCGAAACCCGCGTTTGATCCAGAGCCGAATCGGCGCAGAGAAAATTATGCGGCTCCCTTTAATGAACTCGTTTCATGTCCTCGGACATAGAAGCCAAGGGAGTCGTACAATTTTGAACGTATCACCGCGAGCGAACCAAACGACGTGACTTGTAATCGTCTGTTTATCCGACGTCGAATTTGTTCTTTTAATCGGGAATTGATCGTGTTCATTATTAACCGCGAGTACGCTTCACCTTTCGGATACAATTCGTCAGAGGGAATTCGCGATGGGGCACGATTTGAATAATAAACAACGATCGTTAGTCAAATATGACACGAACGCTTTAATTTTTCATTCGCACGTGAGCATAAAGTTGAGGAGTCGCGGCAGCGCGCGATGGTATCGATTCGCGATGTCATCGAATTCATTTTTAAATCATGTCCACCACGAGCTTCTACCGTGCTTTTAAACTCGCCTGCATGCACGCTCCGTCGTCCTTGCGACCCATTCTTCGTCGAAATTATACCTGATCGAATCGCGGCGAACTTCACAGAACTCCATACCAATTATGCAGAAAGATAAAAATTAGAAAATGAACAAAACGACGAGAACGGAAAGGGACTGCGGATTATTTTTATAATAGAGGATGTGGCTTTTGTCTTGTCGAGATCCCGCTTCCTTCTGACGCTTCTCTATGGGTAGGAAACGAGCTAGAAGTTGCGGCTTGGTAAACCGCGGTACAAAACATCTTTCGAACAAAGAAAAAGTTGTTATCATTGGGATTCCGGAAACGATAACCCTGACCGTCGGCCAAATGGAAACTAGTCTATTTTAGAACCTGACAGGAATCAGAATTCGAAATTCGCAAACGAAATTATTGAAACTATTTTAATCGACGAATTTTCAGTCCCATCTTTTATGAACAATGCCGCGTTTAACAACCGCTTTGTGAGGTTGACGCCGGTAATTAGATGGTCTGAACGGGAAAAGCGATCGGCCAAGACTGCCAACAAGACCATCCCAGCAATCTGCACGAACATCTCGGTACACATTAATTCAATTCCATCGACGACGGGGTCAATTTCGTAAAAAGCATTTGCCGGACTATCGAAGCGGGTATCGATCGATCGCGCCCGCAAACCCGTTTAATACATACCTGTGTCCACCGACCCACATAGAGGAACAGCAAAATCGTGAAACGACAGAGGAACATCCCGGTTATGCCACCCCGAGAATTCGCGGAGACCTTAATTAACCCTTTCGTAGGAAGAGAGAATCCGGATCCTCATTACATTACCGATCGTTATCATCATCATCATCATCATCATCATCATCATCATCAACTGTATCAGACAAAAATACGAGTAAGATAAATAATTTTACGTATCGCTGTACATTAATACGAGATCGATAAAATTCGTTGGCTAGCTTCGGCGAAGATAAACGTCAAAGGGACATTGAAAATGTTAATATCCGATAAAATCGCGTAACGCCAGAGGAAAAAGACAACGTACAATGGTTTTCCATTTGCTCTCGCATTAAAAATCTTCACCGGACGGTGGCATGGCAATGAACGAGAATTGATGAGACTGACGTGACGCGGGAATCATCGAATCGGTAAATTTAATTTAATCCCCGCAGCGGAAATCGAAAAATGATACCCCGCGCGATTAATTTTTACCGGCGCTCGCATTAATTACGCTAGAAATTAATTTAATGATCAAAGCTGATAAATATTCCACGGTGCTTTGTGAGTCGAAAATATCGGGAGGCTGATACAATTCGGAAAACGAACAATCGAACCATCTGCATGGTCTTCACTGTAGGCTTAAATCCATTGTGCTTCACGCATGGATTGGAAAATACAGAAAGAATTCGATTTATCACGTGGAACGTTCGTTTTTCCGAATCGAATCCAATGATCGCAATAAGTAAATAAAGAACGCGCATGATTTTTCTAAGCAGAAGTATTTCCGTCGGCATGTAATAGGACTAAAACAGTTTAGGCAGCGGAATTCGCGTGTTTCAAGAAGAGCGTCTGGGTGCCACGCCAAGAAGATATCTGCGCGTAATTCTCCGACTCCGGGATCCGGTTAATTCGGCACGGGACTCGCAAGCTGCGCTGAGAGGAGCGGATTCCGCTTGATTGCGACCACTCAAATCAGAAACCGAGACTGGCAGCCAAATGCAAGATCGAACGTTCAATTCTGAGTACCGTCTGCCGGTCGAACTGGCAACTGAGACCGGGGCTGCCTAACAAGAAAGCACGATCGAGAGAAAAATGAATTGGGAGAGGACACTGGCAACCCCGAACCGTAAGGGAATGAACGAGAACGATCGGCAGAAATGGATATAAGAGCGAAACAGTGGGCCAACTCGCTAATCCTGATCTTCGATCGACTATTCACGTTAACAACTCCAACCACTTTCCTCTACATTTCCCTGTTCTACTCTCTCTTTGATGATT